TTAACACTACATGTACCTCGAGTCTCACCCTGGCAGCTGAGACAGGTCACCCCAACACTTGGCGGCACATCAGTGTCAGCCTTAGCAGGATAAATCTCCCCAGACTTATCCAACGGCTGTGAACATTCTAAACTAACACGAGTCTCATAAGTGTCCAGTTTAAGGGTATTACACAACCACTATAACATGAATCAAATATGTACTTTATTTATTTACAATAAATGTCATAATGTACATCAATCTGATTGGAGCTAAGGGCATACACTGTCTAACATCTATGTTGTCTTAATCATGTTTGCTTGGATCCCTCCAAGCAAAGGAACCTTTACTTGTGCTTCTTATTTCATGTCCATCTCTCAATCATCTGCTTAACAACCCTTTCCATCAAAGGAAATTTGGTGTAGGCCAGTTCCCCAAAGATTATGCCGTTTTGTTGGGAAGTATTCTATGGAAAAGTAAACACACTAGATAACCTACAAAAGAGAAGACATTTCCTTTGTATTTCTCCCAATTGGTGTATTATCTACAGATCTCACGGGGAAGGATTGTTACCATCTACTAATATCTTGTCAATTTTTTGTAGACCTTTGGATTGGCTACTTTCGTTGTTTGGGAGTAGTTGGAGCTTACCAGTAGAAGTTTGCTGATCTTTGACAATTCTACTTTCTCTTGGCCTACAAAAAGAGGGTAACTTATGTGGAGATGCACTTGCGCTGCCCTGATCTTGACTCTTTGGTAAGAAAGGAATGCTTTAATTTTTCAAGAAAAGGAAAGGAGCAGTTAGGAATTGAAAGACTGTGTGTTGCATAGGGTAATTTTTTGGCTGAAGACTTTTGAAATCTTTCATCAATTCTCTTTTAATGACCTTTGGAGAAACTGGTCAGCAGTAGCGAGGTGTTCACTCTTAAAGGACAAGTTAATTACAAGCTGGTCTCCTCATCTGAAGGTTCATTGAGGTTGAACTTTGATGGAAGTAGCATGGGTAATCCAGGATTATCCGGAATGGGGGGTGTTTTGAGAAATGAGAATGGAGAGCTTGTCTTGCTTTACTTGGGTCCTTTAGGTGTTGGAGACTCTATCAGGGCAGAGCAATTAGCTACTGTACAAGGGGTGCAATTTGCAAACCAGCTGGGGGTACTGAATTTGATAATTGAAGGGGATTCCAAGGTGGTGGTGGGCTGGTTGAAAAATCCTGAAGATGCTATATGGTGCTACAAGAAGGAAATGAAGAAATTCAGTTGGGTGACAAGGAATATGTTGGTCTTTTTACAATGGGTGGGGAGATCAGAAAATACTTTGTCCGATGTGTTAGCCAAGCAAGGGGTAAATAGGGAAGAATTGTTTTGGGCTCAGCTGTGATTCCTGTATGTTTTTTTTCTAGTTTAATTGTAAGATTCTAGGAGGGGCTGCAGCTTGCACCTCTCCCTTGGATGTTGTATGAAATCACAATTCTAAATCAGTTTTTGAATTCATAAAATTATACTATTACTCATAAAAAAAGTGTTTGGTATTTCTTCATGTTGACCTATGTAATTTATTTGTTCTATTACTTGCAACTTTAGGGTCACAAGAACTATGTTCCAAACATGATCAGTGGGGCATCTCAAGCTGATGTTGGTGTTCTGGTAAGCTAATGCTCTGACACTTTTTTTTGTCAAACTATCTATCATTGGAAAAATCTGGTTTTATCCCTATTAGTATTTTTTCTGATAAAATATTCTTCTTTGATGTTTAGGTAATATCTGCACGAAAAGGGGAATTTGAAACTGGATATGAAAAGGGTGGACAGACACGTGAACATGTCCAACTTGCGAAGACCTTGGGTGTCACTAAATTGCTTGTTGTTGTCAATAAGATGGATGATCCTACTGTGAAATGGTCTAAAGAGAGGTGCTCAACAATTATTTTTGTTTGTTTTGCAAATTTCTTTTTGTTTTTGGGGCCTTTAAGTTGATATGTAAGGATTCAGCAGTCCTTTACATTTAAATATTGTTTGCAGGTACGATGAAATAGAGTCAAAGATGACACCTTTCCTTAGATCTTCGGGTTACAATGTGAAGAAAGGTAAAGAAGGACCTTTTCATCTTTGGTTGACTATTCATAACATAGTTATCATTCTGGTCTCGGTTTTGAGAACCATCCATCTTGCTTTGTTTTGCTGTAAATAGGGCACAGAACTTTGTTTATGCTGTAGAAGGTACAAAAATGTTATTAGCAACATAAATGTTCGACAAGATTCTTGTTAATACTAGAAAGATGTTAGCAGTGGTTGGTGTGTATTGTGACCAGAATAATAAGAAGATATGATTGAGAGAACATGGAATGAGTTGACTGCTTGTGGTTGGTCCACCCTAGTTTATATCAATGTTTTAAAATGCGGAGGCGTGACGCAAGGTGTTCCACTGCATTGAGGCATGAGGTGTAGTTCAGAATGTAAGAAGGGTGCTTGAGGCACATGAAGCATGTGGCTCAAAGGCATCAAAGCTTTTGGCATGCACCTCAGAGCGTTTTGGGGTGCTTTGCATGGAGGTGCGCGCACCTCCAGGCATATGCCTTCCATGCCTTTTAATACATTGGTTTATATACTTGAGTGTTAAAACATTCAAAATTACAATAATACACTGTTGTTGAAAACATTACAGCAGGGACATCTTAGTCGTTTCTACGCTGCCCCTCAAGTTGAGTATATATGTCAATCATATAATTTATTCTTGTTTACCCCTTTAGTCAAGAAATCAGCCAGCTGGTCTTCAGTCTTTACACAAGGCCAACAGATCTTTTTCATCTCAACCTTCTCTCTTATGAAATGTCTTTCAACCTCTACACTTCAAGTAAGGTGGTTACCACCTCCAGAAGGGGTTGTAAGGTTGAATTTTGATGGGAGCAGTCAAGGCAATCCAGGACCTTCGGGTATAAGAGGGATCTTGAGGAATAAGGATAGTAACATTCTCTCCTTATTCTCAGGACCAGTGGGCTTTGGAGATTCAACAAGGGCTGAACTTCTAGCTGTGGTACAAGGACTACAGATTGTCAACCAACTTGGAGTGACTAACTTGATAGTTGAGGGAGACTCGAAGGTGATAGTGGGATGGCTGTTGGACCCGGATACTGTTGTTTGGGGCTATTGGGACATCATCAGAAAAGTCATATGGCTCACAATAACCATGTTGATTAGTTTCCAGTGGGTTAGCAGATCAGCCAATACTATGGTAGACTCTCTAGCTAAACAAGGGGCTTCAAGGGATTCTTTGTTGTGGCCTACTTTGAAACTGTAATTTGGAAAAAGGGTTGGAATTGATCCATCCTTGAGGGGAGGTAACACCTTGTGCCATTTCTGTTTCTATTTAATAAAATTTACAGTCATTCATTGAAAAATGTGTTTCAACCTCTGCATGCTTGGTGCAATCATTTTTTTTATCAAGAACAGAAACTCTCAGTAAATGCTTAGTGCAATCATGCTGCACGGGATTGTGTGTAATGTTAATGGTAGCTTTATTATGACAATAAAGTCTCATAGGTTCTTGAGTGGTAACTCCAAGCTCTCCCATTAATAATTTGAGCCACACCAACTCCGATATTCCATTGGGGATCATCAACTGATCATGCCCAATTTGTATCTATGTAAGCTTCCAGCTGCAAATGTCCATGACTACAGAACAATAACTCTCTTGTAGGAGAAGCATTTAAATATCTAAGAATTCTTCAGCCGCTTGAAGATGAGGGATTTGAGATGCATATATTGGCTTATTACCCCCATTGCATAAGCTATATCTGGCCTTGTTAGGGACAAATTCAGAAGCCTCCTCACCAGTCATTGCAACATTCTCTTGTGTTCTACCAACTCTCCATCAGTACCATTGAGATGGTGATTGGGATCAATTGGAGTGTCTGAAGGCTTAACACATATCTTCCTCGTTTCTTTAAAAAGATGAAGAGTATATTTCCTCTGAGAAGCAAATATACTTTTCTTAGACCTTGCCACTTCAATACCTATAAAGTATCTGAGTTCTCCCAAAGCTTTAATTTTAAATTCTGAGGCTAAGAAGACTTTTGAGTTGCTGAATCTCTTCCTTATGATACTCAAAAAAATCTCTTCCTAATGATCACTTATTACAACTAAATCATCACCATATACATATAAAGTTGTAGTGAGCCCTCTCATGTTTAATAAATAAAGTGATATGACTCTTGAGTGTACCTAAACTTCTTAACTGCTTTGTTGAGATGATCAAACCAAGCTCTTGGAGTCTTTCAACCCATAAATAAATTTCTTTAGTTCACACTGGGAGAATTTACACCTTTTCAAATCATGATGAAGCCATTTTTCACATCCAATTGATTTATATTTAATGAGAATTTACACCTTTTCAAATCATCCAATTGATTTATATTTCAAACCATCATAAATAAATTTCTTGGTGTAGTCAACACCATAAATTTGGGTATAACCCTTGGCAACCAGCCTAGCTTTATACCTCTCCATCGGACCATCTGATTTATATTTAATGATGTATGTCCATCTATACCCCACTAGTCCATTCCCCTTGTGAAGATCAACCAACTCCAAGGTTTCATTATTCATAGCTACCTTCCACTCTGGTTTAGGTAAAACCTCAGAAACATGTTTGCGTATAGGAATGGAAGAAATAGCAGCAGGGAAAGATTTGTAGGATGAAGACAAATGAGAAACAGAAGGTTCAGAAGGCTCAACAATAATGGGGGAAGATTCAACAATGGGAACAATGGGCAAAGTGTTGGGAGGTGATTCTGGTGAGTTATCACTGATAGTCTCTACATCTTTCATCTTATTGTGCCGTTCTGAGAAGGCTTACAAAGAAGGAGGCGGAAGAGGCAAAAGTCTCTCTTCAGCTGTGTTCTCCCCATGAAGAGAGACTGGAGCAAAGGAAGGAGTTAAAGAAGGGCACTAAAAAATTGTTGTAAACTGGCTGAAGAAAGGGGAAGGAGTAATATGGAAGCTAAGGAATGAGCTCAGGCACTTCAAGCAGATTTTTAAAGACATGGTGATTCAAATAAGATGGACTAGGAGATCAGCTAACAGCAATCAGCCAGGTCTAGCTAAGCAAGGAAGTTCAGTGACAATCTATGTTTTGGTGTGTGTTGTAGTTAGTGGATTTTTCCTTTGGGCTATGTTTGGGGCTGTGTTGTAATTAATGGAATTTTCCTTTGGGCTATGTTTAATTAGTGGAGTTTTCCTTTGGACTTCTCATCTGCCCACAACTTCTTGTTCTACATGATTTTTTAATTTAATGAATCATTTCTGTGTTGCTGATAAAAAAATACTTCTTACCAATGACCGGATCATAACACTTATAACCCCTTTAAGTGGAAGAATAACCTAAGAAGACACCCTTGATAGCTCAGAGATCAAGTTTAGAGTGGTTTGGGCCCAGGAAATGAATGAACCATACATAGCCAAAAACATCAAGATGGAGAAGAAAATGATACTGACCCGGAAAGAGAAATGAAAACAGGGGACTGCAAACCAAGACTGTGGGGTGACATTCGATTTACAAGGTAGGCAACTACCTACACCCCTTCAGCCCAAAAACGATGAGGCACATTTATATTGTATAAGAAAGCCTGTGTTACTTCCGTCAAATGCCTATTTTTCTTTTCCACCACTCCAAATTGCTGAGTGAACTTTGATGAATTATCTCTCTTTCTTCCAAAAAAACATTCAAGCCATTGTTAGAGATTTTCAATGTATACTTTTTCAAAGTATTCTTTTCCACCGGTTTCAAGACCAATCCAATCATTGTCTCTGTTTGAGATTTTCAGTCTTGCCTCAATTGAAAAATCTTAGCCCCGTTCCTCTTTTGGGCATAAGTCTTGTTCACTCTTTCGCAAATCTGAGCAGCAGTTCGAAGAAAGATAAGGTCATGGCTGATTTGAGGAGTCATATATTTCCATAACCATGACATTATGATCATATTTTCTTGCTTCCATACGTCTAGTGAAGGATTTGCATCAGCAGGGCTCTTTGTTTTACCTGTGAAGTAGCCGGGCTTTCCTCTTCCACTAATATAAACTTTTTTGAGAAGAATCCAGAAAATTGGTACCATCAAGTTTAATGGTGGCAATTTGAAGGTTTTGAATGCTCCATAAGGTTTTATATAGATCCTCTAGGGGCCAAGCTAGTAGTAGACCTTGAGGTAGAGGATTCTTGGGCCATCTCCAATTGACAAAGCAATAGTCCAGACTAAGGAGATCAGGCCCCAAACAGAAACGCCATAGAACAACAGAAAAATAGCCTTCTACAAAGAGTTTCTGGAAAAAACGGTAATATATGAGCAGAAAAAAATTCTAGAAAGTTCATTACGTCATAAAAAAAAAAGAAATTCTAGATTCGTATGAGAGGTAAAAGGGTCTTCGATTGCCATAATTTGAACCCTGTTACAAATTTCAGCAGAAAACAAATATAGGAAAAATATAATGCCTTATTGTTTGTTTCTCTGATCACACTTAAAAGACATCTTAAATCCTCCTTGATTAAGGGGTGTGTTCCCGTACACTAGTAGCTAATACCTCTAAATAACTCCTTATTGTCAAAGGGAGTGTTTCTACAATGCCCTGAGTTTTCACAATGTAAAAAAGACATTCCCTCCAACATGCTTAGTACAAGATCTGAGACATGGTTTTGTGTATCTTTCTTTAAGGAAACAGATGTTAGCAAATACATTTTTTTTGCTTCTTTCATTAAAGCACTAATTTGGCAAACTAATATGACACAAAGGTTAAAAAACACAATGCAGGTTAGTTGGATTCAATTTGTTAGGTAATGCTTCCTCCTAACGGGTTGCTCTAATTGACATTTTTTTTTGAAAAAGGTAAGAATAATTTCATTAAAGCATTACAAGTATAATAGTTACAGTGTATGGCCCTTTACACACAAGATTTTGTACCTTGAGCCTGTACAACCTTTCAGACTTTATAAAGGAGATAACTATTATCAAAGAAGTTTTCAAAATGTGTTCCTTTAAAAATTTGGATGCTCTAAATGTCATTCCCATGAACTATTTTTAAATTTCTCGGAAAACAAGTTGGTAAGTCTTTTGGTCAATGAAGTTTGATTTGATGTACTTTCTCAATGGGTTTCTTTATGAGTAGACTCCACTTTTGAGTTTCTTTCTCTTTTCCCTTTGGACTTCCTTTACTTCAAATTTTAATTGCTGAATTATCTAAATTTCCAGTTTCTAGTTTTCCTAGCAAAGAGGTTCCTTTTCTCATTCTTTCCAATTATCATTCGTTATTTTGGGGTTGGGAGAAAGCTTAACAACTTAGCATATATTAGTGGTGGTAGATGCATGCGTTGGGAAATGGAAGAGATATAGGGAAGAAAACAGGTGTCTAAGAATTCAATGGGAAAAGCTAAAAGGAGAAAACCTTGCTTAATTTAGAAACAAGTTGATAATAGAAGGGAATTGGAATTTAGTTGGAAAGATTAATGATATATTTCTTGCAAATGGAAAATAACATGAATAAAGTAGCAAAGGATATCTTAGGAGAATATAAAACGAAATGGAACAAGTACCAAAGAAAGTTGGTGGTGGAATGAAGATGTTCACAATATAATTATATTAAAACGAACATATTACAAAGAATGGGAAAAAAGTTAGAAATGCAGAAAACTAGAAAAAATATAAAACCATAAGAAAGGAAGTTAATAAGAAAGTGAATGAAGTTAAATGTAGGGCTTATGATGAGCTTCACCATAAATTAGGCACTAAAGATGGAGAAAAAAGAATGCATAAACTAGCAAACTAAGCAAAGCTGAGAGGAAGGAAAGAAAATTTTAAAATATGTTAGGTGCATTAAAGATGAAGACCAAAGATTCTTGGTAAAAGATGAGGAAATCAAACATAGATAGAGAAACTATTTTGAAAAATTATTAAATGAATAGCAAGGAGAGGGTGCTAATGGAAGAGAATTTAGCAATACTAGAAATGTGACAAGTAACATGCACCTTCATATAGTTAGGCCTATTGAAGTAAAAGAGGCACTGAATAAGACTAAGAAGGGAAAGGTGTTAGGACCTGATGGGATTCCAATAGAATTATGGAAAGGTATGGGAGAGATATGCTTGTTACGGCTAACTAGGTTATTTAGTAAGATAGTGAAAGAAAAGAAAATGCTTTATGATTAGACAAATAGCTATATGGTGCCTAATATTTAAGAATAAAGTGATATACAAAGTTGTAATAATTATTAGGGGATTCAACTCATGTGCCAATTAATAGAAAAATTCAGAGAGAAGAAGAATGATCTTCATATGGTGTTCATGGATCTAGAGAAAGCATATGATGGAGTTCCAGAGAGATAATTTGGTGGGTCTTGGAAAAGAAAGAGTTTCAGAATAGGTGTGCAGGCCTAATTATGGATGTGTATGATGGGCAACATCTAATGTTAGAACACCAGTGGGAGAGACTTCAGATTTTACAGTTAAGATGGGTCTTCACCAATGTTCAGCGTAGCCCTTATCTGTTTGCACTGATCATAGATGAATCAATTAAACATATTCAGGAGGAAGTTCCTTGGTGCATGTTGTTGTTTTAATTGATGAAATTAATGAAGGATTAACTGCAAAATTAAGCTGATGAACATATGGCATAGAAACAAGAGCTTTTAAAATTAGTATGACTAAAGCAGAGTATATGGCATGTAAGTTTAGCGCTAATAGGAGTGTAAATGAGGATGTACTTAGGATTGAAGATCAAGAAATAACTCAATGTGACCTTTTTTGGTAGTGGTTCAAGAATTCATAATAAAGGAGAGGTTGAGGAGGATGTCACCCAAAGTGTTAGAGCAAGATGGACAAAATGGAGGGGTGCGTCTAGACTTTTATGTGTGATAGGCAAATACCACTTAGAGTAAAAGGAAAATTCTATAAAATAGTTGTAAGGCCAGTTATGTTAGGAGCAGAGTGTTGGGCAGTCAAGAAACATGTTCAGAAAATGAGTGAGGCAGAAATGCGAATGCTAAGATGGTTGAGCAGAAATGGAATGCTAAGATAGGATTAGCAATGAAGTCATCCGTAGGAACCTAGGAGTTTCTCCAATAGGTGATAAAATGAGAGAAAGTAGACTAAGATGGTTTGGTCAGGTGCATAAAAGACCATTGACAACACTAGTTAGAAGAAATGATTTGTTAGAATTGAAGGAAGGGGCTAGAAGGGATAGGGGTAGCACAAAAAGGGTAGATGTTGTAAGAAATGATTTAAGCACTAATAATTAACAGTGAATATGGCTTTAAATAGAACGGATTGGCGAAACAGGATTCATTATAGCCGATCCCATATGATCATGATGATGATGATATTGGGGTTTGGGAGTAGCTGACAAAAAGTAATTAGAACTTCTGTTTTTGGTAATTAAACAAAATAAGGATTTCAGAACTTAGAAGACCATATTTTACAATTTTTTATTGATATCCTACTTTAGAATTTTGCTGTTCTGATATCTTTATATGGTAAGTATCAATACTGCCTTGCTGCATGTTTTTTCATGCTGCTTGCTTGGGATTTTTTTTTTTTTTTTGATCAGTAACAAGAAACTTTATTAATGATATGAAACTATGTGAAACTTAAGGTACGAAAGGGGAGGTAAAATGTCTTGACTCCCCACCAACAGAATGCAATTGAAGAAAGTCAAAAGTTAGCCCAAAAAATCGATTCCCTATTCACCCCTTGCTTGGCTAACCCATCAGCAAATGAATTAGCAGTCCTCTTCACCCAGCTGTAATGCACCACAATATCCCTACTCAGCCATTTGAATGTTTTCTTCTCATTGTTATAACTCCACAAACCGCTGTCTTCTTCGTTCGCCACCTATTCACCACCTTCGAGTCACCTTCAAGGACCAAACATCTGATGTTCAACTCCCTTGCTCTTTGGATACCTTCCAGGGCTGCAAGAATCTCAGCCCTAAAAGAGTCTCCTTCCCCAATTGGGCCTGAGAACATAGCAATGATAGTCCCATCCGCATTCCTGAACACTCCCCTAATCCCAGAAGGCCCTGGGTTCCTTAAGCAGTTACCATCAAAATTCAGTTTTATGAACCCAGAGGGAGGAGGGGACCAAGGTCCTCTTACATAGGGCAGAGAAGCTATCTCTTTCCAGTTTCTTACCAAATCAGCCACAGAATAATCTGAGAACAGTTCCATAGTTTTCAGTCAATGCTTGCTTGGGATAATTATTGTGCTATTTGATCACTTTGCTATTCTTATTTATACAGATGTTCTGTTTCTCCCTATATCTGGTCTGCTTGGCTCTAACCTGAAAACAAGGGTGGAAAAGAGTGTATGTCCATGGTGGAATGGCCCATGCCTTTTTGAAGCTCTTGATGCCACAGAGTTGCCACCACGGGATCCTAAAGGTCCATTCAGGTATGAAATAGAATTAATATAGTTTATTGATAACTCTTTGTCTAAACAATTGTGATTTCTTGGTATGTATGCACTAATTATAGTTTTTATAACAAAGACGGCTTCTTCTCTTATGTTGTTTATGCAACTGTACAATGCACTCTCTTTTGAAGCATTTATTTATTATTAGTGCTTTTATTCATTTACTTATTGGTACCAACTATAAATGCACTTATTTCATTTTGATTCGTTTTTGTACTTCTACATTTTTAATTTATTCTTATAAGTGGGTCATTTCATCACCAGCAAAAGTTCATTAGAGACATCTGTTAGTTTTAGAATAACTACCTTTAAAGCCCTTCTCAAAATTGAGGTCAGTTGGAAAGATGTCAAAACATCCTGGAGAAGCACAACAATGGACCCTTGGGTTCATATTCCAAAATGAGAATTTCGTTAGTAAGAAATCATTAGATGGTCATTGAAGGGGACTATTTCTCACTAATGGGCTTCAAACCTCTATGAGACCTGGAGTGCCATGAGAGAGAAGCTTCAGACTAAGAGACACATAGAATAGGGGGTAGCAGTTTAAGGCGTAGGGAACTTTCTCAAAGATGACCATTTGCCATGGCCTATCTTACTAAAATCTGACCCTTTTATTCTTGGGACCATGGTATCGTTTATGAATATGTATATTCTATTTATAAGAAATGTAGTAGAGAAGAGTTGAGCAAGAGAAAATAGAGAGAAGTGGGAGAGAATGGTGTGGACCTCCTACAGTCGACTGCTCACTTATTTATATGTTTTGTTGTACATATGGAAGGACAGTTCTGTCCTTAATGAAGTAAGGTAGAAGTGTAGAACTTATACTAATCTTATAATGTAATAGTGAATAAAGAGGCCAAAGTACCCCTGGTCTGCTGACTCTTTAACACTCCCCTTTAAGATCTGCCTACTGATTTTTCAGGCCTTACAAAGGTAGTAGAAAATTACTCAATTAGTAATTTTTTACCCTAGAGTGCTCTTCAATTACCGAATTATCTTGTTTATAGTCTCCCAATGTGGAACCCAAGGCTCTGCATATATTTGCTTATAATATATTGAAATGAGATATTTGGTCTAGTGCAATGATTGAAAATGCATGCTTAGGTGCATAGGCGAGGTGAATTTCAAGGCCTGCACCTCACCTAGGTCCAGGCACAACCCCTTTAAAAAGGTGTGCGCCTGGTGCACCTTGTACCTCAGCCTAGGTGTGCACCTTTCTTAAACTTTGTGCCTTTTGTAGTTTTTTAAGCATGGTGACTACTAGGGCACTCACCTTCCTTTGTTCTTCCTAATCCAAGATATTTTATAAAAGATATGTACCAAAGCTAAATCATACATCCAATTTCTGAGGTACCAATTAAGAATTTAAGACCGTAAGATGGACTTATTTGGGCTGGTGTCAAGGGGCTTGGTATAGAGAGATTGAAAGTTTCACGTGCTCGAATTGTTGAGTTCTTGTATATGTTTTATGTTTAGCAGTTCTTTTAACCCATATTAGTCTCACTTCCATATCTTGTGTCAACCATTTGAATTTCTTTCTTTCACTATTGTAATTCCAAAGTTCTTGCAGCCAACCCACCACTAGCTTTGAATCACTTTAGATAACCAACTTACTAATATTCATATCTCTTGCCCTTTGTACTCTTTCCATTAGAGCCATATTTTTATTATGGTTTATGTTTAATTTTATTATTAATTTCTTACATTTTCACTTTCCATATGTTTTATATGTTATGTTTATGTATTTTAATATGATCTAATAGGCTTTTTAAAACATTAGTTCAAAATTTAATTATGCTTTTTTATTGATATTATTTTAAATTTTTTGTTTTTTTTGAATTTTCTTTGATTTTTTGTATTTTTATTTTTTTAATTTTGTACCTCACTTCCAAAAGGCGTGTGCCCAGGTGCGAAAATCCCCTTGTGCTTTTTTATGCCGTATGTGTTTAAAACACTGGTGGTGATGGTTAGACAATTTTACTTGCCTAGAAGTTTTCTATGTTTTTTAGGATCACCATAGAGCTTACCTTGATCAATAGTCAACTTGGTATTGGGATTAACAGGAGACTTTGTCGGCCTGGAACCCAACAACTCCATCTCATCAAGTTTTATCTAAGATGCAATTTGTCATAGATTCATGCTGTTATCAAGATTGGACCACTTCAATATCCCAAAAACATTTTAGACAATCAAGAAAGAAGGAGCTAGAAACAGGATGTGCGGTATATGAGTGCTTACCTTTTTTGAGAACAATGGGATGGTTGGGACCAAGTTGGTGGATATGCTGAGAAGAAATGGTAGATAGCCCCAAGGCTTTCATATAGTATGCACTCATTTAATTTTGCTTCTCCATTGGGAGTAGACTAAGAACAAGAAATGCAAACAGGAGCTGGTAGTATAACCAACAAAATTTCAAGAGAAACCGCATCAGTAGCAAAAACAGGTACAAACTCATATAATGTGAAATCTGGACAAACAAAGGATATTCTCAACTTAGGACTGTATCATTGATAACCTTTTTGATTATGAGCATATCCAAGGAAAATACACTTCATGGCTCTATCATCCAGTTGTCCAATACTTCGTTCCGGATGGTGGACAAAGCATATACAACTAAGAATACATTGAGCCAAAAGAAAAGGAAATTGAGAAGGAAACAAAACAGAGAAAGAACTCTGATTATGAGGAATAGACAGAAGCATTCTCTTAATTAGGAAGCAAGGAGCAAGAACAACATGTGGAATTTTTATGGCATGTTCATTTGTTTCAATAATGATCTGGTAGTAATGTAGTATCAAGCAGGTAGTAATTATTTTTCTCTTAAGTCACACCATTTTACTTGTATGGAAAAGAGGTTTGGTGAATGATATCATTCTGCCCAAGATAAGTATGAAATTGGTTATATAAATATTCATGATCATCATTACTGATCAGAAAAAATATTCATGATCATCATTGAATCGTAGAATTTTTAACAGAACTGCCAAACTGATTTTTGATTTCAGCATGAAGCAGCTATAATATGGAAAGTAATTCTTTTCTTTCTTTCATTAAATATAGCCAATCCATTCTTGAATAATCGTCCACAAAGATATAACATACTTTATCCATTACATATCTTGACCTTTGTTGGACCTCAAACTTTTAAATGGATAAAAGAGATTATATGCTGCTTACACAACTAACAAGACTCACAATCCAGAAAGGACACAAGATTAATAGTATGTGCCAATGACTTCAACTTCTGTAATGACAGATGGCCAAGATGGTAATGCCACTGTAACAGAATGAGGGATGACTAGAAGGTTGCCTATGATCCATAGTTTTCAAGGCGCCAAGGTGAGGCTAGGCGACAGGGGGATGCCTTGTTGTCTAGGCGTCACCTAGGCGATGGATTTTTTTTTATGTAAAAAACATAGACCCTAGGGTAGTTCCCTAGGTACCATAACTATATTTCTGTAATAATTATTCATAATTTTCATAAGAAAAGTATAAAGTTCTTGGTTTTTTTTTGATGAATAAAGTATAAAGTTCATGTTAAATTATAGAAAATCAACATATTCATGAGAAGATGTTAGTCTTGGGTAAATTCTTGGGTGTGTCAATGGAGGGGTTGGAAGAGGAAACAATCAAGTTCTTGGAGGGGATTGAACACAGGGTTCTGTTGGAAAGAGGGAAGCTTGCGGCTAAGAGAGGGGGAACAAATTCAAAGAGTAGTAGGGAATTGATGAGGTTGATATGGGGGCTGAATGACAAGGCGGGGTCTAGTGAGGGGACGGCGAGGGGAGGGAAAAGACTTTGAGTTCTGGTTGGAGAGTGGCTGATGTTCTTCTTATGAATCAGATGGATTTGAAATTATTATCTTGGAATGTTAGAGGTTTGTGTTCGGGTAGAAGGCGTGTTGTGGTGTGTGCTTCTTTGAAGAAATCGGAGTCGAAGATAATTATGCTGCAAGAAACTAAATTGGATTACATGGATGCTGCCATTGTCAGAAGTATATGGGGTGAAGGGGATGTTAGGTGGAAACCTAAATTGGCTGGAGTGATTTTTGGGAGGAATTGGCTGGAGTGAGAGCCAATTTTTCTATTCCTTAGGTGATAGGAGGTGACTTTAATGTTTGCCTTTCTGCCGATGAAAAGAGTACAAGAGGTATGAGATCTAGGTAGATGATCCAGTTTGCAGATTTTATTAACAGTTTTGAGCTGGTGGATCTTCCCCTTCTGGGTAGTTGGTTCACCTGGACAAATAATCAAGATTCCCCTACTCTGGTGAGACTGGATAGATTCTTGGTTTCTCACAGTTGGGAGGATTTACTCCCTGATTTCAGGCAGGTTGCTCTCCCTAGACCAGTGTCTGATCATTGTCCAATCCAGTTGGTTTGTGGTTTTCGAGGCAAAGTTAAAGCCCTGTTCAAGCTAGATAACTCTTGGTTGGAAGAGGCAAAGCTTATTCAGATTTTGAAGGATGTGTGGAATGGGCTGCAAGTGGAAGGTTCAGCTTCTTATATCTTGGCAAGGAAATTAGGTGCAGTTAAAGAGAAATGAAAGCTTTGGAAAAAGGAGCTCTCCTTGAAGTCAGAAATAGAGAAGTGTGCCCTTTTGAGTACCATTAAGGACATTGATTCTGCTGAAGAGGTGGGTCCCATTTCCGAGGAAAGCAGACTCAAAAGAGCTCAAGCAAAGCTAAGGTATGACAAATTGGCTATGGAGGATGAGATTAAGTGGAGACAGAGGGCCAAGGTGAGGCAGCTGAAAGAGGGAGATAAAAATACACATTTTTTTCATAAGATGGCCAATGCAAGTTTGAGAGCTTCTTCTATTTCCAAGCTGGAATGGGATGGTAAGGTTGGGGTTTCCGATGCTGATATTAAAGGGGTGGCTACAAGTTTTTATAAAAAGCTCTATACAGAATCTTGGACTTGTAGGCCTTTTCCCAGGAATCTCCCTTTTAAGAAGTTAAGTGAAGATCAAAAGCTGTATATTGAGAGGCCGTTCTCAGAGGAGGAGGTCAAATCTGCTATTTCCTTGATGGCGGCTGATAAGTCTCCTGGCCTGGATGGTCTCACCATTTTGTTCAATACCGAATGCTGGGATACTATTAAGCAAGACATTATGAAGGTTTTTCAGGCTTTTCACAAAAATGCTTCCCTTCAAAGGAGTTCGAATGCTACTTTCATTACTCTTGTTCCAAAAGTTGAGGGGGCTGTGAATGTTAAAGACTTTAGGCCCATCAGTCTTCCCCACAGTTTCTACAAGATTTTGGCTAAAGTCCTTGCTGAGAGAATGAAAGGGGTGTTAGGAAGTGTCATTACCAACAACCATTGTGCTTTTGTGCCTGGTAAGCAGATGCTTGATTCGGTTCTCATTGCTAATGAATTAATTCACTCAAGAAGAAGAGAGGGTGTTCCAGGTTTAATTTGCAAATTAGATATAGAGAAAGCTTATGATCTTGTTAATTGGAGGTATTTGGATTCTGTTCTACATCATATGAACTTTGGGCAGAAATGGAGGAATTGGATTAAGGTTTGTACAACATCTCCTAAATTCTCAGTTCTGATTAATGGCCAGTCAGCTGACTTCTTTGAAAGTTCTAGGGGGCTGAGGCAGGGAGATCCTTTGTCCCCTCTGCTGTTTATCTGTGTAATGGAAATCCTTACCCTTTTCTGTAAAAGGGTTGCTGAAGATGGCAGTTGGGAAGGCTTTGCAATTTGTCAGGGAGGAGAAAAAGTTAATCTTCTAAAGTTTTCTGATGACACATTGTGTTTTATGGATGCTTCCCCATCCCAGTTGGATCTCATACTTGGTGTTTTAATTTGGTTTGAAGTGGTGTCTGGACTTTAGGTGAACTTGAACAAAAGTTCTATCATTCTGGTGGGGCAGGTTTATAATTTAGGTGTGTGCTGATGTCTTGGCCTGTAAGACTGATTTTCTTCCTGTGAAGTACTTGGGTCTCCCTTTGGGGACAAATTGGCTTTCTCCCTCGATTTGGTATCCAGTCATTGAGAGAATGGAGAGGAAATTATCTTCTTGGAAGGCGAAGTACCTCTCTCTTGGAGGGAGGGTAACCTTGATCAAAAGCACTCTCTCTAATTTGCCAACTTATTTCTTATCCCTAATTCCTTTGCCTGTTGGTGTGGCTAAGAGATTGGAACAACTTCAGAGGAATTTCCTATGGAAAGGTTAGGAGGAGGACAGCAAGATTCATCTAGTTAACTGGGACCAAGTCTGTCTCCCTAAGGAATCAGGTGGTCTTTGAATAAGGAAGGTAAAGAGTTTCAACACTGCCCTTTTGTGCAAGTGGATCTGGAGATTCTCGACTGAGAGAAATGCTTGGTGGAGATCTCTTATTGCTGTTAAGTATGGGAGTGAATGGGGAGACCGGAGAACTAGAGAGACCCCCCCTTGGGGTAGTTCTCTGTGGAAAGGAATTATGAGATTTTTTCCTATTTTCGGAGAAGGGATTTCTGTGAAAGTTGGTAAAGGTGATAGAACAAAACTTTGGAGTGATGATGAATGGTGTTCAGAAGGCCCTCTTGCTGTTTCATTCCCTCACATATTCAGTTGTGCAGTGAATCATGAGGCTACTGTGGCTGACTACTTCTCTCTGTAGGAGGGCTCAGTTGCTTGGTCCCCTCTTTTAAAGAGGAACTTGTTTGATTGGGAGTTGGAAGAATTCTTGGAGCTGCTGAAGACCATCTTTAGCCAGAAGATTGATGGATTGGGGGAGGATGAGTGGTGCTGGAAGTGGAAGCCGGATGGGATCTTTACTGTGAAGTCCATGGCTGATAAATTATGTAGTGAGGGGCATGCTGATTTCCCAGCTGCTCTGATTTGGAATCCGATGAGCGCTTCTAAAGCTAACTTTCTAGTGTGGACGATGGCTCTAGACAAGTGTCTTTCAAGATCAAATCTGCTGAGAAGAGACATTCCAATTATGGATCCAAATTGTGTTCTTTGTGGGAAGGATGCAGAAACTACGGATCACTTATGTCTTCATTGTCCATTCTCTCTTTACATCTGGATGCATTTTTTCCAAGCTTTGGGTGCTAAATGGGTCATGCCGAGATCAGTTAAGGACCTCCTCTGTTGTTGGAAGCTGAAGGGTCTGAATAAGAAGGGAAGACTTATGTGGAATACAATCCCAGCTGCTGTGTTGTGGTCTATTTGGACTGAAAGAAATGGTAGAATTTTCTGTAATAGGTCAAAGGATTTGGATGATGTTATTCAGAAAGCTGTGGGTAAGCTGATTTCTTGGATTTCCATTTCTGGGAAGTTCACGAATATTAGCTTGCCTGTATTATTTCAATCTTGTTCCTGGTGGAAGTTGTAATCTTGGCAGCTTTTTAGACTGCCTTTTTGGGTCTGAATTGCAGTTTGTTTGTGTTGAATAAATTTACTTTACCTTTTCCAAAAGAAAACATATTCATGAGAAGATAAAGAAGGAAAAGAAAACTAATCAACATATTCATGGACATCAACTGTATAGTATAACCATTCCTTAACCACAGATGCGTTCCAAACTTTGAACCCTGGGTAATACAGCATCAAGTACCCAAATAAAACAAATAGACATCAAAGAACTCTAAACAAAACTAATAGACATGACTCCATAGAATGCAATGACCATGGCCTCTGACCCTGCACCAAACATCTCTAAAGATCTTTCGAAACACCGTGGTAATTCCTCATATCCAATTCACTTGTTTTTTTGTGGAAATGTAATTTACTTCTAATTCTAATGGTCTCAAATTGCATTTTGTCTTTTGAAAAACTGTGATATTGTGATATTGCTTGGTGTTAAAAATTAAAGTTTGCATCTCCCACTACATTTCTTTCACTATAGCCTCACTTGAAGTTGGTAATATTTATGTTGCCAAGAATCACTTTTTATATACTTTAATCTCGATTTTAATCTGCATGCCAGTACCCTTGAAACATAAACTGCCAATCGTATTTGTATAGCAAGTTCTTAATGTTCACGGTTTGCATATCTTTAACTTCTCGGGTTGATTGGGTTAATTGTCTGGGTCTAGAGTTTTCCCTAATCATCTCGAATTTTGGAAAGTTGAAGGCTATTTCATTTCCATTCTTTCTTTCTTTCTTTTTGGTTTGGGTTTATTGGCCTTTAGATTGGTAGCTTTCTTGTTGTGATGATAGTAGCTTCCTTGTTGAGGCACTGTCTAGGGAGTTCGGCTTCTATCAGGGCAATGCCTGTTCGAGCAGACTTTACAACCTTGCATTGGGAATATCTCCACACTCATGTGCTTTATTTCATGGGGAGATATTCACGATACAAGATTGCAAGAGGCTGTTGGGACGATGTGAGCATGGGCTTGCCTTGACTGAAGCCGATCTCCCATCTAGGTGGGTGTTAGGTGCAAGGTGCCCTTGGAGGGTCACCCCGCCCAAGCACTTACATGTTTTTTTACAAGGCACCACATACAATTTTTATATATATATATATATATTATTTTATGATATTATAATATTATGATAGGTATTATTGTACTAAATTATTCATTTTGTGGGTTTATAATATTTTTATACTTATTACTAAGTTTCTTCATTTTATTTTCTTATTTGTTTCAGTTTAATAGATACACGTTTGTAAACTTGAACTGGTAAGTAAGGAAGAAGTTGAAGGTTTTATTCAATCAACACACAAAAAGTAACTACGGAATGGTTTCTTCTTTCCCTTTCTTTTCTTAGCACCTTTAAAACTATGATTGAGATGGAATTCTTTGTGGGAGAGCCTATTCCATTTTTATGTTGATTCTTTGTGAATTTGAAACTATGTATGTATGTATGTATGTATATTAGCTTTCCAGAATTGAATTGCGAGTTTCTTTCATGGCCAGTTTTTTCATCTATTTCAAAAATCTTGTCGTTCAGGATGCCAATTATTGACAAATTTAAAGACATGGGAACCGTTGTTATGGGTAAAATAGAGTCTGGTAGCATCTGTGAAGGTGATAGCTTACTGGTCATGCCCAATAAGGTATGCTACCTAAGCTTGTTTTGTTCTCCAAAATTGTTGATGCAACTTAAGAGTGATTGAGGGATTCACGTGTTGATATGCAGGCTCAAGTGAAGGTACTTGGCATACAGTGTGATGAAAACAAAGTGAAACGTGCAGGGCCTGGTGAAAATGTCCGGGTAAAGTTGTCTGGGATTGAAGAAGATGATATATTGTCTGGCTTCGTTCTATCCAGTGTTGGTAAGCCTCAATTTTCATATGGTTTTGTGGTTGGCATTCCTAGAAATTTGGCATGAGGTTGGTTGAATAGTATATGTGCAAAAATTTTATTCTTTCTTTTTTGGTTTTCAATGAAAATTTGAGCCGTGTTGTATTGGGGGTATGGTGAAGCATAGTAATCCTGTAGTCTAACCAGGCGATCATTTAGGTGATTACTTTTTTATTAAAAATGGTTAGTTTTATATTGTTTCCCTAGTGTTTCTTTGGAGGTAGGGATGAATAATGAGCTTTATAGCTAAGGTCCAAGCAAATACAATACATCTATGAAAATTATATAAATTAAAGAACTGGACACAGATCACAGAAAAGATGAGAATTGTTCAACCTCCTTTATGTAGGAGGTCGAGGACTTGATGCAGGACATTTGCATAATTGAAATATAATCAGTTAATGGAACATTCCTAGTGTCTAACGTATTTTCTGGACCATCAATTATGGTTTGTATGTTTACCAAAGAAAAATATGGTTTGTATAAGTATAGCATTAAAGTGGAAAAAAATGAAAACCATACAAAATAAATGAGGGAGTGCAGCCTCTACACTGTCCACTAGAAAAAAAAATGAAAACCAGACAAAACAAATGAGGCAATTTTGTTATCGTAACTTGGGATTGTGGTTTTTTTTTTATTTTTATTTTTTAACTTTCTTGTGAATGGAACTTAATGGATGTGTCACCTCTTTCTCCTCTTTAGAATGAGGCACCATTTCCTTAATTGACAGTAGAGTTGACAATCAAATCAAATTATTTGGTGTAGACTCCAAAATATTTGTGTTATGATTCAAATTGTATGATAGATTTCATTGATAAGTTCTTCAAGAAAGAGGTTGGTTTGTCTTCTCTGGTCACCTCTAACTGATGATTTCATCAAGCTCAACTTTGACGGCAGAAGTCTCAGCAATTCGGGCTCCTCTGGAATTGGAGGGATATTTAGAAATAGAGATGGACATGTCATTGCATTGTTCTCAGGCCTAGTGGCCTAGTGGGAGTGGGGGACTTTTGTAGAGGTTATCTCAAAATAGCCAACTCTCAGGTGGCATGGAACACTTTTGAATGCATTCAAGTACGAGAAAGATGGCAAGGCCCTCCCCCATCAGTAATTAACATTGCAGATGGTAAGGACCTCTGGATTGTCAATTTCTTGGTGAAAATTGGTCCAGAATATCATGAGGCTCAGATATTTAGGCAATACCAGAGGTAGAGGAAAATAGATTACAGGGATGCTTAATGGGGAAGACATGGGGGAGGAGGTTATTAAGGCTTTATGCCTAAGAGCCATTAGGTTAGGGAAGGGACCTATTCAAGAAATGGAATCTTTAGAGCAAGTGCTGCAGTCTCTAACAGAGGAATATGGAGACGATGCAAGTCTAGACTCCTGTCGTGAGAAGGAAGAGTTGAATGGCACTATCCACTAATGGTATTAGTGGCACTAAAAGGAGGGGTAGGGTCCAGTGGAGATGTACTAGAGCAGCACTACTTTGGACTGTTTGGGAGGAAAGAAATGCAAGAAGCAGGGTAAAATCGGGACAGTTCTCTGTACATTCTTGTTAAATGCTTAACAGCTGATTTGATGATTAGAAGAGGCATGAATGGGATCATTGATAGATGCTGTTTGTGGTGATTATGCAGAATCATCAAACCATATCTTTATTCACCGCAAATTTATAAATCAGCTATGGGTGGTAGCAATGTCTTTTTTTGGTTTTCATGGATGCCTGCTTTGAGTCTATTGAATCTATTTCAATGTTGGAGGATGAAGGGCTTAATCAGCATAGGAAAAATTCTATGGAACATATCCCCACCTCTGTTATTTGGACAATATGGAGGGAAAGAAATCAAGAATTTTTAAAAACAAATTCAATGACATATCAGTGGTGAAAAAAAATGTTTTTGTATACAACAGGAATTCTGGGGCGTCCAACCACAGTACTTATTTAATACTGGTTCCCTATTCTTTAGCTTTTTTTATTACCCAATGTACAATCCCTCAATGTTGATGGGTAAATGTATATATTGGCAGTTTATATTAGTGTAATACATTGCTTTCTTCAAAAGAAAGAAGATTCCATTGTCAAAAAAATCAACAATATTTGTTGGATACTTTGGCTGAGGTTGATAATTAGGGTTACGTTGAAGTTTGGTTAGGGTTAGGGTTGAAAAATATGAGCCCAAACTTGGGGCAAGGTTAGAGAGCTGATGCCTTGGGCAACCTGACCTGATCTGAACCTGACAAGTCTTCATGTTTGCATGTTTTGATACACATGCCTATATGTATGTATGCACGTATGTATATTCAAAAGTCAGATTTAACCAGAATCTCAGCCCATGTCTTTGGGTTATGGGTTCGACAACTTGGGGTTGGGTTAGAGTGATCTCAAACTGACCTAATCCAGCCCAACTTGCACCCAATTGGTAATACCTCAATACTTCTAATGTATCGTTATATATGGACATAATGAATAACTTCGAGCTAAAATTTTCTTATCTCTGTATAATGGAGATTCGCGTTTTTCTATCAACTTCATTAACTGATGTTTTAATTTATTGATCTTTGTGCAGTAAAACCAATAGCCCCAGTTTCTGAGTTTGATGCACAGTTGCAGATCCTTGAGCTACTGGACAATGTATGCTTACTTTAGTGGGTTGCTTACTTTTAGCAGCCTAATCTGGTTCCTTGGTTCTTCAAAGTTTGTTGAGCTTATGTATAATGGAGTACAAATAGTTAGAGGAAATTTGAACCCTAAATATATGTTATTGTTCCAGGCAATTTTTACAGCCGGTTACAAGGCAGTACTGCACATTCATGCTATCGTCGAGGAGTGTGAAATTGTAGAGCTGTTGCAGCAAATTGATCCAAAGACAAAGAAACCTATGAAGAAGAAGGTTCTTTTTGTCAAGAATGGTGCTGTTGTTGTATGCCGCATTCAGGTCAACTTTATGAACTACCTATGAATCCATAAATTTTTTTGCTGGAGTCTGGATGGGAGTTGCTGAGTTATTTTTGTAAAATGTGTCTCGCAGGTTAATAACTTGATATGCATTGAGAAGTTCTCTGATTTTCCACAGCTTGGAAGATTTACTCTTCGAACTGAAGGTAAGAGGAATAAACAATTTACTTTTTATATATGCTCATGCTATTTTTTATATTGCATTAGTTACTCAGGTTATTGTTCTATACAGGGAAAACGGTTGCAGTTGGGAAAGTTACTGGTCTTCCAACATCTAAAGCTTCAACAAATTTGGGATGAAAAGTAAGAAGTTTCTGATTTTCTATCTTTCTCCTTATGTTTCACATCAATAGATTTTCTGGATAGCCTTTTATTGTTGTAACTATACTGTAGAAATTAAGTTGGAAATATGTTATCAATCCATGTGTGTACTGTGTAGATGCTAGTGCAAGCTGAAAAAAAAGGTTTTATGGAGGACCTTTAACCCCCCTGATGTAGGAAGAACAGGAGAACCTGGTGAGAATAAAAAATGACTTGGAAAGGTTGGTTGATATAAAAATTGTAGTGGGAAAGAAACTTGGGTTGTTCTTTTTGGATGGTGAGGAAGCTTCTAAGAAAGTGCTTCTGGAACTAGATAAAAAGATAGATCTTTAGTGGATGATGATGGTTCACAAGTCATTGTTTTAGAGAGACTTATGATGATTTGTTATAGTGATCTCTAGATTGAGTTTAGATAACGTTGAGAGATTGAAAGAGATAGGTTTTGTTTTGACGGCAGGTAGATAGTTATACTGAATGGTTCATGAGCAGTGTTTAGGAAACCGGACTGGCCGATTGCACCACTTGAACAGTGATCTGGGGCCCTGGCCAGTTAAGTCACACCCCAAGAACCAGACTTGCTAAAAACCTGGTGAAAACTGGCTGACCTGCTGGTATAACCAGAAGACCGGTGAACTGGTCCTGGTTTCATGAAACCTATCGGGTAATCAAATATTTGAAATTTCAATAAGCATGTGACAAGAGTTGAACCCATGACCTCTTATTTTTATATATTGCTTAAATACCATTAGTCCACTTCTTTATTTTTGTTAATTAATGACCTATATATATATTACTTTATTATACACGTATTTTAAATAAAGTGTACTTGAACCCTGGTCATTTGCTTTAAAAATTAAGTAATTTTCCATCAATCCACTATATTTTGCTTTGACAAAATTTGTAAAATATATTATATATTATTTATATGACCTCGTATATATATGTACATGCCACATCATCACAATTCAACCTCTGTTTTGACTCCCATTGAACCTCTGACCCATGCCCTTTTCTGGTTCTCTGTCTGGTCTGGTTCTCTGAACATTGTTCAGGAGTGCTGTTGATATGGTTTGTGGAAAAATGATGAGAGTACATTGAGATTGATTTTAAGGAAGTTAGCTTATGCAGGTGTTGAAAATTGGTGGTTGGAGTCTGTTTTGTCAGAGGCATTGAAGCTGGAAGATGGAAGTTTCTTGAGGAGATTTTTTGTTGTATGGCAAGGTCCTTTTGGATTCATATTGGTTGATTGTGATGTAGATGGTGGTGATTTACCAATTTTTTATTACCCATTCTGTACTTGTTATATTTTACTGAGAATTTCTCTTTATTATACATAAGTGAATGTGGTGGGAAGAGAGAAATCAGGGATCTGGATAATGAGAGGAAGAGATTCAGATCTGAATGGAAAAGAGAAAGAAAAGGAAGAAAAGAAAATTGCACTTTTAGAAGGAAAAGAGAAAGAAAGAAGATAAGAATCTTACTAGCAGGTAACTTAACACTCATGCTGCAAAAACAACTTTTGACCATGTTGTCAGACTTGGATTAAACATAAAACTATTTTGGTCATTGGCCATGGATTTGATGGTCCAACCACTAGGATAACCTAGCGACTAGGGGTAATCATTTGTAGCATGGTCTAGCCGAGAATACAGATATACAATAACAACTACAAAAACACTAACAAAAACAATTACAATGACATGACTAAACATAATAAACCATTTTGTTCAAGACTAGAACATGCATACACTATAGGTGACTTCTGTTATCAGTTTGGTTTTGACCAAATAATCCCTTGTAGGAAGAAACTTGAGAAAAAAAATAGGTTTGTGCTTTCTTTGAGTATTTCAGTGCTTTGAGTGTTTCTTCTTTTGAGTGTTTGTTTGCTTCAAGTGTTTCTTGGTAGTGTCTGTGAGAGTTTATAATAAGCTTGAGTGTGGCAGTTTCAAGTATTTCAATCAAAGCCTTGTAAATTTTATATTATTCTATCCCTTAGAGTCTTTATCTTTTACTCCTATTCTGAATGTATAGATTTTATTATTTCTGCTTTGAATGTATTTCGAGTTAATAAATTATATATACTTGTGATTAGATTATTCTGTTCCATTGCAAACTAATATCAGGAATAATGTTAAACTACCTTAGCCTATTCTTTGTAAAGATGTAGCTTTTCCAGAGAATTGGATCCTAAACTTGACAGATCTGCCAAAGCTTTTAGAGGCGACAGAGTTAGAGTCAATATCCAGGATAACAATGGATAGAGGGTCATAATGCAGAAATCATACTGCTCCCCAAGATGGTCTGTAGACATGTCAAGAACATAAGCAGAAAATCTAGATCCCTGATATTGGGAGTTGGTATGCCATATGTCCAGTAGAACCCGGGCCAGAATTTTCAGTTGAAAGACCATCCTCAATAAAATCATATGAACGTTTGGAGGCTGACTTTGAAATTACCATTATGGAAATTGAGCAAGTTGAAAGGTTTGAAATCAACAATTAAATATTAAGAATAGTTTTTAACTCTCAAGTAAAGAGGAAAAATTGGCCCCTCCATTTTTGAGGCTTGCTATCAGCTCCTCTTCACCTATTTCTAAGGGTTCCATGATTTAGTTATTTTTTCCATGACACTGATTTCTAATTTCTCAATATGAATTTTATGATATTTAAAGATATTATGACTTCTAAGCTGATTCCAAAATAAGTGTAACATTTATTCCTGATAATAGTTTGAAATATTGTGGTCATTGTCTTTTTACTTTCTATCTTAATTAGGACAAACTGTATTCATCACCTTGAAGTGTACTCTATACATTAAAGGCTACATTAAATTACAATCTGCTTTATTCCTAAATCAGTCAAGAGTTTTCTGGTCAATGGGTCAAAAGTTTTCATCCATATTACTTATTGGTATGGTTCTTTCTACTGTTTTTATGTTGTAATCTGTTTTGAGTTTAAACATTCCTCGCTTATGGATTTTTTATTAACTGGGACCTTAGTCCTATTTTGCAGAAACTATTTAATATTTTCAAAACTTATTTTCTCCATATTTTTTATGGACATGACTCTAGAGCTAGATCACCCATTGTCACTGGTTATAGACAGAGATTTCATTAACCTAGCCATAGTCTTCCATCTAAGTTCAGGAAATCTTATCAGGCAGTCAACAGTATTACGCCACGACCTACTTGAAACATTTCAATTGGTCTAAATTCCAATCTACCACAAGTTCTGGAGTCGTCCTACCAAACTCTTTAGAGATTGAGTATAAATTGGATAATGATGATAGGAGTGAAAATTAGGGTACAGATAGGATTGGAAGTCAAGAGATATCTTGATGTGACTCATAGAATCAGGGCAAGATGGGCAAAATGGGGGGGGGGGTGCACCCGAAGTCCTATGTAATAGGAGAATGTGACTTGGGCTATGAGGAAGTTTTATAAGATAGTTATGAGGCCAAGAATGCAGAGTGTTGAGCTACCGAGACATGTCTAAAAATGAGCGGTAGAAATTTGAATTTTGAGATGGATAAGTAGGAAAAAAGGAAGGATAGGATCTGTGATTTGATTGATCTAATAGTAAATAAAAAGAGAAGCAGGTACAATCTGTTCTTGTTCAAGTAGAAGAGAGAAGATGAGGGAAAAGAGGATAAGAAATAGGGCTGAAAGCAAAGAGTGATCGAGCTCAACTAATCTCTAAACTGCCCAATTTTTATATTTATAATAATCTCGAATTTACATATCTGTCCTTATCTAATAAACAAAGACAAGACAAATAATAAATAAAGAGAAAAAGACCAAAATGGCCCTAACTACCAGCAGTGTAATTTAACAGGCCTAAGTTGGAGAATATATGTCATAAAGCTCCAAAATGATACAAATGTATTTTATTTGTGCACAACCCAATCCTTTAATGAAGAGGTCAGTTAGCTGATCTTTAGACTTCACATGGGGTGTAACAATTTCTCCACTGAAACTTTTTTCCCCTTACAAAATGACAATCCATATGTTTGGTTCTCTCATGAAACACTAGATTAGAGGAGATATGAATTGCTGCTTGGTTATCACAAAACAACTTCATGGGTGTTTGAGACCACTACTCCTATTTCCTATAGCAATTGCTTTAACCACACCAACTCACAAGTAGTATAGCCCAAGGTTTGAAATGTTGATGTTGGTGGAAGTGTCAGTCATCCAAATATAAGAAACATGCCTGAAATGTTGAAAATGTTGTACGGAAATATTGTAAAAATTATTGATATGGCGGAAACATTGTAAAATGTGCAAAATATAGAATCTTATTTTATGAAATGATAAAAGAAGCATAGACACCTTTTTAAATTATTATCTTGTTCTAAATCATTAAACAAAGCTAAGAAACTAAGGTTATAGATAAAAGAATATATTCTAAAGTTTCCCTGTAAACCTTAAGATTCGGAGCTTCATGATAGAATGAGTTAAAGCAAAATTTGAACTTATAGAAAATGTAAATGGTTGTAACAAGTTAACCAAATAATCTATTACACAAACAAAAACTAATATTTAACTTTATATTTGAAATGAATATTGAGTTAGCTCAAAGTGGTAGTCGTATTAGTTAGGTGGACAATAACTTGCTACTTCACATACATACAATAGTTACCAAATTATGTTATAATACTATCTCTTGTATTCCACATAGTATTGGTAGTGTTCAATGGGGAATATGCCAATTCTAGTAAAATTTCATTTTGTTACCCATGGAAGTGGAAATGGAAGTATGTCGTGGAAATTATCTCTTGCACTCCACATAGTGTTGGTTGTGTTCATTGGGGAAATGTCGAATCCAGTAAAATTTCGTGTCACTACCCATGAAAATGGAAATATGTCGTGGAAATATTAGGGAAATTAGGGACATTTTAAACCATGATATAGCCCATGGTTCTGTACTTAGCCTTAGTAGTTAGCACTGCTCCTAGCAACCACACTTTTCATCTTACTTTTTCAAGTGAAAAATTCCCTGCCATGAAAGTGCAATAGCGAGTTATCGACTTTCTATTCTATGACCGATCCCTCTAAGAATAATTCTCCTTTATTATAAATCTATCATTGACCTGTGGCACTTTTAGATAGCTTAATTCTATACCTCCCATTGAACTATCCATGGGTTTTGCATAAACTGGTTTAATAATCATACACTAATGTTGTGTTTGGTTTGATGGAAAAAGTAGAGAAAGGAAGGAAAAGGTAAGAAAACCTTTATAAACCTTGTATAAGTTTCTGTACTTTTCCCTTTCTTTCCCTACCTTTTCCTTGAAACCAAACATAGCCTAAAGGAAATGTTTGGCCTTGTAATGGTATGATAAATCAATTTCCCCACTAGTCTCCCATACCTTCCAGGGTCAACCAGTAGCTCCCACTCACTGTTAGACACCTTCAATTCTTCACTTTGGGATCTTTAGGAATATCTGCTGGTTTTTCTCCTAATAGACCAGTTTCTTCCAAGATGTCATATCATATATTTCCTTTATGATAGAGATCCCCCCCAATGCTTTGATCTTGTTATTTACATGTCCAAAAAATACTTCTAGTGTCCCAAGTGCTTAGTTTGGGATTGCTTCTGTATAAACTATTTCAACTCTTCAATCTTGCTAGAGGGTGTATCCCTACTAAATACAAAGTAATCAACATTACATTGTTTCATCCCAAATTGATTTACCACACTACCAAGTCTCCCAAACCAGGCTCTTGGATATTGTTTCAATCGATAAGTTGCTTTCTTTAACTTGCACACTTTTCTTGCCTCCCCTCAAGCAACATACCTAAGAGGTTGCTCCATATACACTTCCTCTAGGGCACCATGAAAGAAAGCATTCTTCACATCCAACTGAAACAATAGCTAATCAAAGCGAGTAGCTAGAGAGATAATCACGCGAACTGAACCCATTTTAGTAACTGGTGAGAAAGTATTGGTGCAATTAACCCCGTAGGTTGTGTATATCCTTTTGCCACTAAACATGCTTTGTGTGGTTGTACCTCTCCACATTACCATTTGCCCGATGCTTAACTGTATAAACCCATTGACAATCAACTGTTTTTCTTCTCAGAAAGTAGAGAAGGTCCCAAGTATGATCAAAATGGAAGAGCATGAAATTCATCATCCATTGCCCTCTTCCATTCTGGTGAGAGAAGTGCATCATGAACTAACCTAGGAACATTCACAATCTAACGAAAGAAGGTACATGAATCCTATTTTGTCAATCCGTTCTATTCAAAGCCATATCCACTGTTAAATCATTAGTGCTTAAATCATTTCTTACTACTACCTATGTCTTTTTTGTTCTACCCGTAACTCTTCCAGTTCTTTCAACTTGTAATAAATCACTTCTATGCATGTGACCAAACCATTGTAGTTTACTCATTTTATTACCTATTGGAGCTACCTAGTTCCTACGGTTGACTTCATTCTTGATCCTATTCTTTCTGGTTTTTCCACTCATCCATCTTAGCATTCACATTTCTGTTACACTCGTTTTCTGAACATGTTTCTAGATTGCGTACCATTATGCTCCATACAACATAGCTGGCCTTTCAACTGTTACAGAATTTTCCTTTTAATCTAAGTTGTAGTTGCCTATCACATACAAGTCCCTATGCACCTTTCCATTTTGCCCATCTTGCTCTAATTCTTTAGGTGATACATACATTTATATTATTATCAAGCCTTATATATATCTATATATATGTATGTATGTATGTACACCCACGCCAGAAGTCCAGTTGGGGCCCATGTAGGGCTGGGCCTAGTTTTATATTTGAGCCCAAGCTCTGGTATGGGCTTTGCCTCTTGTCGTAGCTGTAAGCCTGGTCCATGATCACCCTTGCTGTGATTATGAGTGTGGATCTCCTTGTGCAGACTCCAATTTACTACTTCCAACTGATGTTGTTAGACTAAAACCACCTTGTCATCGGCTGGACAGTCCAATTACTAGGTTGACTTTAGCGACTTCTGATGCCATATTTGTTTATAGAGTATGCAATATGACTTCTAGTATAATATTTTTGGTGGGAAGATTTTTGATATGAAAAATAGTAGCTTGATGGCTGTTATTTTGATTTATGCAATCCAAGTTCGAGTCATTGTAGTTGCATTTTGCGGCATAAGATGTAGATATGCATACAATTATTATACAGAACACTGTCACTGAACCTAGAATCGTTGCTTTGTTGTTGACTTTCAGGTTGTGCATTTTGCATCTCCTTGATGTTCTTTTAGTAACAATAGTAAACGCAATTGGCCCAGACAGGTTGTTGAAAATTGTTTGGTTTTCAGTAAACCACATGTCACTGGCAATTGTAACGGCTTTATTGTTGGAATGATTTATGCAGCTGAAAGTTGATTGAGCTTAAAGCTCAACTGCTGTTTTGTGAATCCTTTTGGGCTCTTTTTGTTTTAGCGAAGTTTTTTTTTTTTTAATCTTACCCCAAAAAAGAAAAAAAAAGAGAATTTGGGGTGGCATTTAAAATCATTCTATTCAAAAGATTTCTCTGTTATTGGATAAATCACTTACCTATCTTTTTTATTTTATTTTTGGGTATTAACTCAATTACCTATCTAACGACAAAAAATCATGCGAAGTGTACAAAATAACGTGATTTTAACTTTTGACTCGATAAACAAAATTGACTACTTGTGATAGACTCTTATTCCTGATTACAATAATATTCTATTCACACAAAAATGAACTTTTGAGGGAAGCATCTTCATGAATGACAAGTTTAACTTTTATACGTATGACTTGCTCAATTTCCTTGCATGGATACAATCATCAGCGGCTGTTTTTACATTTCATTCTCTCTTTGACAGGAATGCCATTTTATGATAGGAAACGTCCACCTCTAAAGCACACTCGGGAGCCATTGCACATTCCGATGCTCTTTGCATTGTCGAGCGTGTTGGAATTATTCTGAACTCTGTTGCGTTTAAACTTCTCCAGTGGTGCTGATTAGGGTTTTATATCAGTCATGTGAAGCGTTGTCCATCTGTGCGGGCTTTTATAGATTCACCTTATTTATTGAGGTTTTGATTTTTCATATTTTGATTCCAGTTTGACCTGGTTGTCCCTTAGCAAACCTCAAGCTTTACAGATATTGTTTTGTGAAATCCTAATTTGTAGTAACTTGAGTGAGTCAAAAGTACTTTATGCGCACTCAAGCTTCTCCGTCTGGAGGATGTCAAATTAATTGAAAATTCTTCAGTGGCCCTTTTAAGGCTATAGTTAAGCGATTTTAATATTTTTGTTTTTGCAATTATATGTAATTTCTGTTTGCGGAAGTGATTGCAGTAACTTGAATGGGAGGGATATGCATCTAATTTTGTTGAACAAGGTGGTATCAAATAGAGAAAAGAAAGCTCACTCCCAGCATCAGCATCAGGTGTGTTCGAGATCAACATCAATGAGCCAGCTGTATAGGCCTTTGTTAAGGTTCGGCTATTCTTTAGCAGTTTAGATTCGCTTCTACTTATTGATTTCATTGGTGGATTGAGCTTGAACTTCCCTGAGAAGAATAGTATCTCAAATAGAATTAGAAGGAAACTTTGATATGGCAGAAATTTAAGCAGGGAAACTTGTATGAACTTAAAATACATTAATAATGCCAGATTCAATTTTTAATTGACCTTAAATGAGGGTTCAAACTTCAGAGTGTTGATATGCAATGGTGGATACGAATTTAGCTTTTTACAAGCTATTGGAGCTTGGTTCATGTAACTTGATTTGGTTGGGTTTAAACCGAGTTTAAAGTTGAGTTTTTATTCAAAATATAAGTTAGTATTGCTAATTGAACTGATCTCAAGCATAATGAAGCCTTCGTTTTCTAAGCTTGCCGGGCTAATTAAGTATATATATTTTAATTTTTATGTAATATTTTAAATTTTTATATGTAAAAATTTTATTTTTTAATTTTTAAATTGTCGAGCTTCAGCCAATATCTGAGCCTTGTGTGTGTGTGTTTTTGTTGTGTTCGAATAGCTAGATACTTGACTTGGCTAAACGATAATATGTGATTGTAACATTTGTCATTTATTATCGTCTAGAAAAAATAAAAAGAATAAGATATCCAAAGAATCAACAATATTCTCGATACAGAAAAATATGTTTCGAGAGTTTCCTACTTTCATTTAATCGATACTTTTCATTTTTTTTTTTACATTTTTGGTTGATAATTTATGATTGGAGATGTAAATACAATATTAAAGCACATAGAGGAAAAAACAAAATAAAATAAAAGATTGAACGACTATATCAGTCCTCTTATTGCAACGGCGTGTAGGCCAAATTGCCAAATGCCAAGACCTTTACATTGGTCTTTCATGGCAACGGCCGCAAGTTGAACTCTTTTATCTGAAGATGGCGAGAGACTGGAAAAGGAAACAAAAACACAAGATTAAGATGGGGTCGTTAAATTATGATACATACCACTACAGATTTAAGAAACAATGAGAAGAAACAATAGATCTACAAAACAACATAAAAATTCAACACATATACCAGTACCAGTCGTCTTGTACCGCACCAGGAATTCAAACTGTTTCAGAGGAAGATGGTGAAAGACCTAAAAAAAGCATAAGAAGATGGGGTTCTCAGGGGTGATCTACTTGTGTTACATCGTCTCCAACTAGTTAGATCTTAGATGCCTCGTCAGCATACCATTGCTAGAAATGATAGACCAGAGCAAGAAATGAAGGCAACTTTCATGATTTTCAATATGTGGTCGTTTCTTGTGTGCTTTGAGCTAAATTCATCCAACCAAATAGGATTCAATTCACTGAAGTTAAAGTGTCTAGCTAACGGGCCCTGACTTAGAGGAGTCATTTGGAAATGAAATTAAAATGTGGTTTCAATTGGGATTTGGGAAACATTTTTAATTTCAATAATTAATTAAATGTTTTGTTTCTTCTTTTATTATATTATATATATACTAAAGTAGAGCTTGCAACGTCAGTAGCCCTCTCCTTGCTTGGTTACCCAAACCGAGCAATTCTAGAGAGGGTGCAAGATTCCCTCTAAAAGCCCATAGAGTTGCCACCTAGCATGTCAATCTCTCCTTTTTTGCCCCATTAAATTAGGAAGAAAACCCAATAACTTAGGAAATCTTTTCCTATAATCTCTCATAAAATCTCCATCTCTCCCAATCCACACACAAACGGAAACTTGCCTAAAACCTAACCCATCCATGTAGGAACGTGGCAGCCTTCTCTTTTTCATTAGAGTCCCACTCCATCTCTCTCTCTCTCTCTGTCTCTCTCTCTCTCTAAGTTCTCAAAACACTTAGCCAACACCCCTCCTAAAATTTCTCCTAAACTATCTCTCCCACCTAAAATTCCTCCTAAAACAACTCTTTATCTATATTACATGCCCAATGAATAAACCAACTAAAATCCAAAAAATTGTGGTTAAATTAATTTCTGAAATATTTTTGTTATTTTCAATAATTATTGATATTATTGAATACTATTCATTAAATATCAACACCTAAACTATACTTTTTCCTAATTTTTGTAAATTGGAAAATTTAATTACTAAAAATTACTGATTTTGGTAATTTAATTTCATAAATTTTTGGAAATTAATTATTGAAATCAATAATTACTGAAAATTGATAATTAATTAAAATATTAATAAATATAAATTTATTAATTAAAAATTATTCATTAAAAATTTTATTTCAATAATATAAATTTATTTTTTAGTGGAAAATTAACTTCAATTAATATAAATCCATTTTTCATATTTTCAGTAATTTTGATATTTACTATAATTTTGGTAATTTAATTACTACTAATTACTGATTTAAGTTAAATTATAAAACTTAATTTTAATAATTTCCATAAGTATTTGGTACTACATTTATAATTACCATAATTATTGGAACTATATTTATGGGTTTGGGCCATGACCCCCAGGTATGAACGACAATGGGTGGATTTGGAGCGGGGCTCATACTCCACGTTCTGATTTCGAGTTTAATCAATTCTTGTCTTTGACCTTGATCCCCATTGGGGAAAAAATTTAGCTTGCATCCTTGATGGGGACCCCGATGGAGACGGGTTCCCCATCAAGGACTTAAATCCCCACATTTTTTAATTAAAACTTTGATTTTGGAAAGGTATTTATTAAAATAAAGGAAAATTAATATACAAATAATATTTTAAATATATTTAGTTATATAATAATATATCTTTAACATAATATTTACACATCTGTCTATCTAACCTTCTATCTATCTATCTATCTATCTATCTATCTATCTATCTATCTATCTATCTATATATAAAGCAAGGTGGTCCATGTCACCATGCCTCTCCTTGCTCCAAACGAGAGCAAATCAGCCCTCCACGACGTCCCACAGCACATTCAAGTCGTATATTGGGAACATCTTCTGATGATGATACCAGAAATGATGATATCATCATCAGGAGAAGTTCACAATACTCGACAGGGATGTGATGTGGGACATTGTGGGGGGCTGATTTAAACTCGCTCCAAACCCCCATGCTACTCTCTCCTTAATTCTCTCCCGCCCCCTTCCCACCACTCCCAAACTACCAAGTCATCCATCCTTAAAAATTCTTTACTAAAAATATTCCTAAAATCTCTCACTTTATCCCCTCTCTCCTAAAATCCCTTCATACTCCCAATTTATTGTCCTTAAAACTCTCATTTTCCCACCCTTATTCTCTCTCCCTTTGTAATACAACTTTCCAAATATTTAAGAAATGCCATCTCCTAATTCCTAAAAGCTCTCATCATTCTATAAATATTGCTCATAACTAATTTTTTTATACTCCTAATTAATCCCCACTGCCCCACTTGTAACTAAGACACGACTCTCTCTCTCTCTCTCTCTCTCTCTCTCTCTCTCTCCCCCCCCCCCTTCTATAAATTTCATTAATCCAAACCAGTTACGACCCATTTACTTTGAATGGTATATAAAAAATTGTTTATAATTAATAATTTCATTTTATTTTATTATAACTCATACCAAAATTAATGAATTATTTTCGTGGTTAATTAAAAATTCCCAAAAAATGTTACTATTTCTAATAATTAATAATTTTTATTTTATTAAAATTTTTAGGATTAATTACTAATATTTTCTACTCTTTACTATTAGTTTACCAACATTAATTAATTATTTTCAGGATTAATTACAAAGTACCAAAAATCAATTAAATCTATTATTTATATTCATTCTTTATTAAGAATTACCAAATATATTATTTTTTTTAGTAATTAATATTAGTGTTATATTACCAAAATTAATTAATTACCAATAATAATTAATTATTTTTATTAATATTAAAATTTAAAATTTAATAATTTTTTTCATGAATAACTAAATTAATTGTTTTTTTTACTATTTGAATATTGGGATTAATTAAAAATTCCCAAGATTCAAGTAAAAATATATTATTTATATATTCATCATTAATTCAGAATTACCAAATTTTAATACCAAAATATATTGCTGTTTTTAATAATTAATGTTAGTGATATATTACCAATAAATTGTTAATCACCAATAATAATTATTATTTTATTAAGATAAAAATTTAAAATTTAATAATTATTTACATGAATAATTAAATTGATTATTTCATTACTTTTTAAATAATTCATAATATTAGTTTTATTAATTAATAATATAATGAATATTACTATTGAAGCAGTAATTTTTTATAAAATAAGAATTATAAGATTTATTAATACATAGTTAATAATTATTAACGATAATTATAGATTTATTCATAATTTCTTAAATATTAATTATAAAATTTAAAATCCATTATTAACTATTTTCGTGAGTAATTAAAAATACCTTAAAATATTATTGTTTTTACTAATTAGTGTTATTGGTAATAACTATAAAGTAAAATTAGTGCTATTGATTACTAGCGGGGACCCGTGAGATGCATGAGTTTTGTTAAAAGAATTTGAAGCAAAAGGAGTTAGGGTTGTAGCTTGGGTTGGGTGGGCCTAACTCGAGCCTGACCCAACTCAACCAAAGCTTTTTAACAGGTTGGGCTTGAGTTTTCAAACTTTTAAATGGGTGTACGCCAAAAAATTCAAGGCTAACCTAAACTCAGGTTGAGCTTGGGTTAAACCTTGAATAGTTCAAGCTCGATCCAACGACCCAAGTCTAGCTCAAGATGTTAGGTTAAGCTCAGGTTGGGCCTAAGTTGGTAAACATGGGCTTAACCTTGGGTTGTTAAACTCATGCTGGGGTTTGCAAATTACCATTAATTT